TAAACCCATAATTCATATGCGCCACAAAGTCTGCAGCAATCAAATTGGCATTAAATGTACAGCGAGTTGAAATATTGTATACCCTTCGATCGAATTCATCCAGAGTATTGAGTGTCCTTTCCACTTTTTTTGCATTTCCAATATCAAAGTTTAAGCACTCCGTTTTTGTGAGGGTACGAACGTAGGATAGCTTTCCTCTCGAAAACTTCTCCTCTCACAAAACCTCTCACAAGTCAGAAGCCCGCAGTCGCAGTCCCGGCTGCCATCAAAGCCCAAACGACATAATTGCAGCCTGTCTGCAGTGGCTAATGCAAACAAACATGGGATTATGAGACTGAGAGGCCCGAACGAAATTGATGATGAAGCTCGCTCCCCGCCTGACCCCTAACAAGTAGCTGGCGAAATGCTTAAAAATTGGGTCTCTACGTGTTTCCACAGCAACGCAGATCGTGCAGATAGCATTTTATTAGCTCCGCCACAAATTGTGCTGAACTTAAGGTTCAACTTCTCCAGCCTAGTGCATAAGTCCAAATGCATTAAAACTAGTGCAGTTCAATCATGTGCATTGCGTTTGGCGAATCGATTGGCCCCGCTTCAAACCCCAAGAATGTAACTCACGAGCTCTTTTCAGTTGTACGAAATTATTATTCCACCTTCAACAATTTGGCTCCCGTTTTTGGTGTTTGCCATCCCCAGCATCTTCATTATCATCAATACAGTCCCAGTGCAAATTTTTCATGGGAATTACATACGTGATAGATTGTTTTGTACTGCACTTCAGACATCTAAGCCCTCCGAAAGCTGCTGTGCTGATTGGTTTTCTTTCATCTGTGATTGCCATGCTCTAACTTCATCGTCATCATATGGGACGTGACTGTGCTAAGATTGTCGGGGACCTGAACAAGAATGCATCCTGAGTACGCATGGAAATGACTTGTTTTTGAAGGATAGGTGTAATCAAGGAATTGCTTTTAACATTTGGCATGGGCACTCTTGTGTAGTAAAAATCTAACTCAAATGACTTTTGATTGAAACATTTTGAAAAAATGTTCTTCGATTAAAAGTTAAGGTTAACAAGCTACAGGGAGAGCTTCACAAGGCGCCCCATTGTGGACATGACCCCTTCAAGAAGATCAACAGGTGGTACGCTGTAAGCTATGAACCAAACTGGTAACTAAGATACCATATTTTCAACCCGCACTCAACAAATTGTAGAACATGCACACTAAAAACGCTGAAATAATTCTTTTAAAAAGTACGTAGCTGATCCAAAATCTAGATTTTAGTGCTCATCAGTGGACAATATTAAAAAAGAACGAAAATCTAAGAAAATTTATTTTATTCTAGTGAAAGAGTCGTGATCAGTGGCCACGAAGCTACCAGCACATGAGCAATTGATGATAAAGACCATCTCCTGGTGCCAGCCAGGAGACTGACCAGCAAAAATGTCTGTTTTCGAGTGCCTTCCGCCAGCTCGTTGTAGTTCAATTAAAGATTACGCCAATAAATTGTACTCAGTAAGTCGTTCAATTTAAGCTATGCAACATTTTCTGTCCCTCAAAGGACTGTCTATAGCCGCTCGACCGGCGCTCTCTATCAGATGCATCATGTGTCATAAGCAAGTTGTAAGACGCCGACAAAACTTCAGGCTCACCTAGGGTTGACCGCGTGACACAACCTTTATGTATGCAGCAGCAAGAATTAACGTAGGCGCTCTGAAACAAGCAATCAGAATGGGAAATTTGTATTTCACGACCTGACACGGGCTCAACAATTGCTTGGAGATCGCAGCATCAGATCGCGCAGATGCTGATGCGGATGAGGACTCAGTTCCAGTTCTTAGATTTCCATAAACGACACCACAGAACCCGCCCGCCTTCTCATCCAAAGATATTGTCTACAAAGCGTAAGCAATTTTTATGCTCATGTTGCTCGTAATCACCGCAAGCCGCAGGTGGTAAAAGGAGTCGTGGATAACCCCAACCCGACCACGTCTGTGGCAAAACCATGGCAGACACCCGAACGCATCTCCCCAAAAGCGGCGCTATGCTGATTGAATTGCACTAATTGCGAATTAAAGCTCAGCATTTTGAAGACAACAAATTGCATGAGTTTCAAATTGAATTGCAGAATCTCTGCAATCCCTACACCGTCCTGAAGCCCACCCACTCCAACTGCCACCCTCTGCAGCTACTAATGAACGCTCTCTACTCCTGTTGCAGCTTGTTTGGCTTTTATTTCGCTTAATTAATTGGCACCGCCAAATGTCTAGAGTTTACAAAAAGTCCATGACTGAGGCATGGAAAACCAAGGGAGCTGTCAACAGCCAAAGTGGGAGGGGACTCTTTTCGGGTGCAGCTCCAAAAGGCAAAAAGAAGCCGAAAGTCAAGTGTCCTTAGAGAATTTTCGGCTGCATATTGCAATTCTTTAATTTTTTGGCAGTTTCAACAAAAAAAATAACTAATTTTTTTTCTTCCGACTTGTTGTAATATTTTTCATTTTCAGATGTTTGCTGTGAAGTGGTTGGCATGGTGAAGGGAGATGGCAAAATAATAACCTTTTATACATGTTGCTCATGCAAAAGGGTTAATTATATCCCCAAATGATTGCTAACGAAGGATGGTTGAAGAGGAATTGAAGGGGATTTTTTTTTTTGCCAAAAAACGTGAAGCATGAAACAATGTTAAAGTAGCATACAACATTACACAACCTCAAGATATACGTTTGTAAAAAAACGTTTTAATTTACGAAAATTAAGATTGAATGTAATCTGTTAACACGAAATATGACGGCGCAAAAGATAAGTGAATTAAATAAAATAATTTGGATTGAAACTAGCTTTACGTATTCACCAACAAATAAAAAGAAAAAAAGAAAACCTCGTCTCGCCCTTGAAGCTATTATAAAGATGTAACCTACGTATCTATGTAGAACTATATAGAAGTTTATATACCCTTGCAGGTATTGAAAAAATGAATACTCTTAAAACATCTAAATTTCAATTTAAATGCGTAGATGTTTTAAATCATTTAAGCTATGATGAATTTCAGCTTAATTATTCGATCATTCCTATTGCAGCTATATATTTGTCAATTAGGTCCTCCAGCTTTCTGAAGTGTTTGGAGGTCTAATATTTTAGGTTCAAATCTGTCTTTAAAGAAAAAGGGTGTTTACACTTCTATTTTATTAAAGAGAGCAAGAAAGGTTTAACTGTGCAACAATTTCACCCGAATAGAGGCGTACATGATATTGTGTGTGTTTGCTAAATACAATCGATTGAATATTGAGTTTAGCAAAACTTTTATGGGTACATACACATTTTTTTGGGATCAGGTTCAGACTCTATCAGAAAGATTTTTTAAATTTCAAATGCGAATTATCAAATTAACCCTTCTGTTTTCCTCATCTGCTAAGCGCCCTACACTTTTCCCAGGCCAACATACACCTTTCCGTGGCTCTAGTGAGTAGATACGAATTTTGAGTGATTGATAGCATGTTATGAGTTAACATGCTATTATTACACACAAGATGCTACCAAGCAATAACAGGAACGGATAAAGCAAGTCTGCTGCAGTCAAATGTTAGCTCACGACTTTTTTAGAAGCAGGTTTTTTTTTTTGACATATTTGCAAAAGATAGAAAATTGTGTAAGAGGAATTGAGTTCACATGATTTACGTGCAATTTTTCTGGATGAAAAAAATTGATTGTCATGCTTTAGCTGCCGTTCGGGTGTCCGCAATCATTCCCAAAAATTATTTTTTGATTGTACCACTTCAGGTAATCATACATTCAAAAAGTTATTAGGCTTGTTAGCTGTTTTCAGTTGGCGCCAGATCGTGGCGCACCTGTTGACTGACACTACGTCGACCTAACTACTTCATTTGCCCTATATTTAACAGTGTGCTCTTCTTTTCATTTATATCGTTAATATATTCTCATTTAATTCAATGGCAGCAAATCAAACTCATCTGTTGATTGACAGTGAAAAACATTAAATTATTGCTGACCGCGGGTTATTAATACTATTTTATTTATATGTGAGCATAGAAAGCTTTAAAGAAATATTGACAAAAACCAGATTAGTCATTCCGAAAACCAGTTTGCAAGAACAAAATTAGGTAGACAGCCAAAGTAAGCATGAAATTCGGTGTGTAAACAAGTCTCCAATTACTGAGAAATATTTTGGGGCAATGAGATGAAAGTGTGTTTTTTCAATTGATCCATTTTTAAAGTTCCAATTAAACGGGCTGATGCGATTGTTACCATTTATATGCTCTATAATGTCTTACAATTGTTAAAAGGGAGATATTTTTTGTTCGTTGTCATCAGGAAACACTGGAAACACGATGCCTAGGCCCACTAAAATAAATGAAAAGGGCAATAGCCCGAAAACACACAGTGAGATCAAAGCACCATTTAAGGTGCCAAGTTAATTAACATTTTAAGCTTCGCCTAAGCGAGTACGAAAGCGAAAAGTGAGAGTCTCCCTGCAAGCAAAACTTAAAGGTGATCTGAGAGAAATTATAAAAGAGTAACAACGTATCGCCAAATCTGCTGAAAATAACTGTGCATAAAATACTGGTTTTTTTCACTCGGCCAAAGTTGTATCATTACACCCAAAATACCCTTTGCAAACAAATAATGTTTTTCAGTAATTATCAAGTCTAACAATAATACCTTTTTATCTCAGGTTAATTTTTTCAAAAAATGCAGAACTAATTTTAGGTTAGTGGTTTCGAATAGCTTGTATTTACAACTACATGCTGTTACCATAGTCAACACTACTCTTTCGAAGCATACATTAGCATAAAAATGCGTTTTTAAAAAGACGCGAGGCCAGCTGACGTTGAAGCACTTCGTACATGACATCGTCGTCTGGGGCCCGTCTCTGGCTTGAACGACTTGTATTGGAGTCGAGATGTTGGAGCTGTCGATGGTCGATAAACGAAAGCTTGGCGTCAGCTGGTCCGCGCTTAACATGCGCATGCGCTACCATTTGTTTTCTTGGCCAGTTGTATTTTGGCCATTAGCACGTTCAGAGTTGCGCCCGCGCGTTCAGTCTCCGACAAGTGTAAAAATCCAATAAATCCCGGCCAACGCAACTCTACTAAAAAAAAATAAATATTGAAGTCGGTGTCTAAAACACTTTCGTCGGTTTTTGCACGAAAACGAAAGTATCTGAGTTAAGCTTATAACTTGATGTTTACATATCACAATACTGAATAAAGAAGGAAAGGCAGAAGAAGCCGATCGCAGTAACAAATTACCTTTAAAGATATTGAAGACGGCCTAAAGACAAAAGCGAGTGAAATCACCGACTACAAAGCGGGTCAATAGCAACCTTCGTTTTATTACGTTTCCTGATCTGATCGTCGTGCCAAGATGCCAGCGGCCAGCTCACATCCACGTCTGTTCTTCTATTTACTCTGTGCTGCCTCACTTTTAGCTTTTTCGAAATCGGACACCGGTAGTACAAAGAATTCCTATTTTATGTCTTATTTCTACTATTTAGTTATTAACTTTATTAATCCTTTTGCCATGCCGATATTTTATCGCTTCGTAAAAGTTTGTCTTATGTAAAACAATGTACAGAATACAAAGAAGTTGTATACTCTCTCGATTATCAAATTTAAAAAAAAAGTTTTTCTACATAGTATATAAGCTTGTACAAATTTTATTTTCCAAGACAATTTGGATCAACGAATGGTTTCCCAAAATACTAATCAACATTATGTTATAAAACGAATTTGTGATAATCTTCAAAAGGCACTGTGTTATTTTAATGGTAGAATAAAAAGAGTTACTTTGTAACATTATGTGTTGGTGTTATATATTTTTTACATGTAAATATAAATTTGTTCTATTTATTACGGTTTACAAATCGGTTTGGTGTTAATACTTAATATATTGGGTATATGGAAATGTATGTATGTAAAAAAGAATATTACTTAAAAAAGTACAAATAACAAGAAAGAAAGCAAACTTCGGCAAGCCGAAGTTACTATACCCTTGCAGCTATTGCAAGAATTAAACATTTTTGAAAACATTAAAATTATGATTTACTTGCGTATATGTTTAAAAACATTGAAGCTATGATGATTTGCAGCTCAATTATTTGATAGTTATTTTATATATTTTTATTATTTCTATGGGAGCTATATGATATAGACATCCGATTTTGATAAAATTTAAAACATAATTCTGAAATATTTAACCATTGCTATATGTTGAAGAACTAAACAAAAAATTAAAAAACAGAAAAGTTATAATTTTTTTTCATTTATTTTTCCGATTGTTCCTATGGGAGCTATATGCTATAGTCGTCCGATTTTGATGAAATTTAAACCGTAAGTCGGTAATATTTAACCATTACTAAATGTCGAAGAAGTAAACAAAAAATTGAAAAACAGCAAAGTTATAATTTTTTTCATTAATTTTTCCGATCTTTCCTATGGGAGCTATATGCTATAGTCGTCCGATCCGGCTCGTTCCGACTTATATACTACCTGCAATAGAAAGACAACTTTTGGGAAAGTTTCATGCAGACATCTTTAAAACTGAGAGACTAGTTTGCATATAAACGGTCGGACAGACGGACACTGCTAGATCGACTCTACTAGTGATGCTGATCAAGAATATATATACTTTATAGGGTCGGAAACGTCTCCTTCACTGCGTTGCAAACTTCTGACTGAAATTATAATACCCTCTGGAAGGGTATAAAAATGGTAAGCCTAGTACAGAACAATAAAACTAAAACAAAGAAGAAACCAAACTTATGTAAGGTGAAGTTATTTAAAAAAATGTTTAAGTCAATACACTTGTTTTACTAGTTCCTATTTATAACATTTTCATTGCTTAATTAAATTAATGTATGCTTATATTTCAAGCCAGATAGATTAGGGAGACGTGACTAGATAAACTCGACTGATTAATACTTTAGAAACTATGCAACCCTTTTGAAAACAAAAACTAGAATTAATACCTTTTTTGTTTGACTCTCTGTGAAAACTCTGCTGTCCATGATCTTGACCACTTAACGCACAACTTATCGAACTTCCGTTGGTTTCATTGACATCGAAATTGGCACGTATCTTCAGTTCAGAAAACTCGTTTATGCACTCAAGGTTAATAGTTGAAACGGTTAGCAGATCGCTGTGACTCTAAGCTTGCCGGTTACGTCAGTTTGCTTGATGCGGAACTATTTAACATAATATACGGAAGTTCGAATGATTTGAAGTTGAATGATTTGGCAAATTTGTTTGTTTATTTTTTCTTAGTCTTTTTGTTTATTGCAACGGAAAACTTGAGCTACTAATCTCGATTTAAGGAAAAAGTCACAGGTGGAAGAATTGTTTATTTTATTTAAGAAACACATAAAATAACAAATTCCGGTCAAAAAATGGTTGAAAACGAAATAGATTTCAACGCAGACAGTTCTTCGTTCTTCTGCTCAATTTTATGGTTATTGTAGTGCAAATACAACCACCATCCGAAGACTTGGCATACGACGCTGCTTTACAGCTTGGCTTATTGAACCATCGTCTTAATCTACTCAGCCACGAGGAAGAGTCCAGGCAACTTAGTTTACAAAACATAACAATAGGTAATTTGGTCAACCGCATACCCTGTAGTTGTGACACTGGGCTGTGCAAGTGCTGTGCTGGTAAGTTAACTTAATTAATAAGAATAAAATCTGAAATGAACTCACTCTGATTTTAGGTTTCCTTGCGGTAATTGGCATGAACAGTTGCACAGAAGTTGCGTATCGTCCTGATGAATTTTCGTTTGAGTTACGCATGCGAGTTAATAACAACATTTGGTTCCGGCAAAAGGTCTCCGGCCAGAATCCACCTCCTTTCTGCTTCAGGCCGCCACGTTTTAACTTTGCCAAGGCCTGTATTCAGTTTCATGACATTTGGTTTGTCGGCCGTAACATGCACGTCTGCATGTACATGTCTGGGGAGTTTCAGGGCTTTGAGTTGTTCGAAAGGTAAAGTCTACCTCTGTGTGAGTCAAGGCCACCGTTATTGAAACATCTCCTGGTCGATTTCAGAAACTTTGATTGTCTTTTGTTTGGTGACCACGGAGTTAAAATTGTTCCCCCAGAGCAAGGCTACCCCGTGAGACCGAACGACGTCGACATTGATGATGGAGACGATGAGATCGAGGAGTATGATGAGAACGTAGTCCGCAGCTTGGCAGAAAAAATGGTCGGTTTATAATATATATTTATAATATATCATGATTAGATTTAATTATTTATTTCTAAAATAACTAAATTACCTAAACAACACCTCTTTACATAACGGTTTTAATAACGACCCACTTGTCAGTGAAATTAACTGAACAGAAAATTCCAACTTTTTTTCCCGTTCAAATTTCAAGTGCGAAAACTGCAAAATGACGTGCTCTGTTGCTATCCTATCCTCATCCCTCCCTGCTAATAGCACTGGCAGCTAGCCCATTGAAACGCAAAAAAAGGGGAAATCAACACAGCTAACAATTTGTAAAGGATAATGCAACCTTAGGCTGCATCTGCACCGCATGTGCAACACCTTGAGCGAGGAGGGGGCAGGAGTTTGCATTGAAATGCATATGCACATGCACGTTGACTGTTGCACTTCGTTTGACTGGCAGTTGACTGTAATAAAGGACTTTTAGGCTGCAAGGATACAGTCCGCAGTGGTAGCGGCAGCAACAGGACAGCCGACGACTTGCGTCAAGAGGAGGAGTAGAGTATTATTTCGCACTTGACTGCGAATCGAGCTCCAGTCAAGTGGTGTGCAACAAAAGCGTATATTCACAGCTTATGGGTACCTGTGCTGGTCTGGTGCATTCAGATGCTATGCAAATAAAAAACGATGCATGTGGAAGAGACACGTTAACATTGCATCTCGAGTACTTAAGAACAATATTAGGACCTTTTATTATTTGTTTTCTGATTAGCTGAAACCGGTAATTTTCTTGTTTGCCTTTAAATAGTCGTATAATCAGTTATTTTAAATACATTTAAATAACAATAAAGTAACCCCTGGTCTCTCCATTTATAAAAGGTGTGACACATAAGCTGACCATAAAGCCTTTCCAAGGGAAAAGTTCTCATTTAAAATGCAAATGTGAGTGAGTGCTCATAAAATGAATTTAGCGCTTGTAATTGAATTGTTTATACAGCACTCACGCGACACTTAAACATGAAACTGACCACACCACTGGCCAGCACCCGTCAAACCATTCAGCACAAACAGATACTGACCCACAGGGGAAGTTCACAAGAGGAGAGGGGCGGACTGCCTGTACTGGACGACCCTCTTTATTTACTGCTGATTGTCTGTTACCCGGCGCAACAGGTACGGACTCAAATCACTTAGGGCATTGGCCAGTTGATGCGATTTTCTGCGATACTGCCTTTTTTTCGGTGTTATTCCCTGAGGTCAATTATATTATTTCCGGTTTCGTGTGGTCAACAGGGGAAAAATATTTTTATTACCCCAAGCGTTAAACCGGATTGAATGTTACTTCTTCGGACCCCTTGATCACATTATAGATGATACGGGATGGTAATTGAGTAGGACACGTTTCCAGTTAGTTTTGATGCAGTGATTATCAGGGGTGTGGAAACAAGCAATACAATGGAAGTGTAAATAAATATATACAGACAAGTATGTCTGCCTGCAAGGAAAATTTTATTTTCTTAAGGTTAAATTTTAGACTGTTTCTTCTTTTCCTTCTTTTCATGACAAATAGAAAAATTGAAAGCAGAATTTAAAAACTACCCCCAAAAGTAATTAAAACTCTCGGTCGTTTGCCCCAGACGAAGACGGTGGCTGCCTCCACCTATGAACGAATGTTAATCAAAGCAGAACATAGCAAAATACGTCCGCATGGGCAGAGACCCTGTCCTTGGGGTTTAATTTCTTTTACATTTGAATTTCGCTTAGAGCAAATGTGGGTGGGAAACTGGACGCTTTAAGTTCTTGAAGGATAATGAGGAAAAAACAGTGTAAACCGACAGAGCTTTTTAAAATATATAATGCTCGTATATGCATTGCCAAAATTAATAAGTTAATTGATAATTTCCAATCGTCCAAATTTTTGAACGAGCTGTCAGTATGACAGATATATTGATCAAGCTCAAAAAATATGCCTCAAGAAAAAAAAATCTTCCAAATTACCTAACCAAATGTCTAAAATATATAAAATAATACAAATATATAAAATAACTGTCTAATAATTGAGCTGCAACTCATCATAGCTTCAATGTTTTTCAACATATACGCAAGTAAATCATAATTTTAATGTTTTCAAAAGTATTTAATTCTTGCAATAGCTGTAAGGGTATATGAACTTTGACTTGCCGAAGTTAGATTTCTTTCTTGTTTTTTTTTTAATTTTAATATGTAACCCCATTTCTATTTTTCTAAAAAAAAGGTTTAGTAGCATAATTACCTTAACGCACGCAGTGATTCTAATTCCATATCTTTTCTTTTAGAAATCCGATTTTGATTTAATTTTCTAAGAATCTGGTGTTATATTTTGTGCCGTTTTCTGGACGATTTAATAAAATTAATATTTTCAACGAGGACGAAAGCTAACTTCGACAAGCCGAAGTTTTAATACCATTGCGGCATGCGTTTTTAGCCTGATCATAGAATGCATAAAAAAATACGATTTGAAAGATTCATGTGAATAGGTGATATACTGCGCGAAATATCGTAAAAACATTAAATTTTAACCGATTTCACCCTATTGTTCCTATGGGATCAAGGTATGAATAAAAATACTGTTAGGAAATATGCATGACCTCTGTAAGGGTATAAAAAATGGCTTTGCTGAAAAGCGACCTGAAACCAGCACATCTAAGGCCATAACTTTTCTTACAGATATACGATTTTAAAAGTCATATCTCTAGTTCCTTTACTTTTCTCGCAGAATTCCGAATCTAAGTTCAAATAATGGTCCTATCTTTTGTTTCTATTTTCTAATTGCAAACAACGATTTAATGAAATTGAAAACGAGAAAGATTGCAATAGGGTGCCCGACTATTAGTTAACCGTTAATTAATATTTCAGATATTTGAATAATATTTTGTCGACAACATTTTATTATTACACTTTGTTTCTCTGATTTTTATTATTTTTTTTTTAAGTACCTTTTTTTTGTAAATATTTTTTTAATTCTCTTTGACTTGTTAATAATTTGACAGTTCAGAATTACGTTTTTTATATTATTTGAATCGGAAAACGATATCATTTAGCTGCCACAGGAACTATTGAATATTTAAGCTGCAAATCATCATAGCTTCAATGTTTTTAAAAATAATAATTTTAAAGTTTTCAAAAATATTTAATTTTTACAAAATCTGCAGGGGTTGCCGTAGTTTGCTTCTTTTCTTGTTTTAAATGTTTTTCACCCATTTCTTTGGTTGGTCAAGTTCAAATTGCGTATGGACGGCAACGCAAAGCGCTAGCAAGAAGTGATTTAAAAAAACAATACGCACAGTCTTGCGTTTAAACCGAAACCATCAGATCGGAAGTAGCATGCCTACCGCTTACACCACAACACACTTATATCGGAAACATGGTCTCAACGTAAGTCTTTGACTCACAAGGCAACCAAGTCATTAAAACAAACAGTATCTGTTTGCTTTGTGGAAGGATTTTTAAAAATAAAGTTTTTTATAAATATTGAACATACATTGGGACTATATTAAATATTTTTAAAATGCGAACAACTAATCAGGTTGTTAGTCTGATAATATTTTTTATTAAAATGACTGCGGCTTGTTGATGTAACACATATATTCACATTAATTGCTAAAGAGGAGTTAGATACGCACAATAACCACAAAATCCACGACAACGGCAAAGTACATACACAGACACGAAGTCTCCCGTACATAAGCGCAATTTTCATGCGTGATGAGCGGAAAATTTCCCCTTTCTGGCTGTAAATAAGCTTCTATATAAGAAAAGAAGCGAAGGCTTCACATTTTTGGGGTGGTAATGATTTCAAAGGGTTAAAATCTGTGCCTTTTGAAAAGCGAAAACATGCGTGAGCTGTAGGTTTGTGTGTGCCTGTAACAACGGCGTTGCCAGCCTGTCGCTAGAATTACTTTGGAAGCCAATGTAGAAGAGTAAAGAAAGTCATTTACATAACTAACGAAGTCGGTTAACATAGCGCTAGGACCCTGAGTAAAAACCGACGAAATTGCGTTTGAGGTGGGGGTGGTATAGCAAAACGAAATAACGTGGACTAGTTTGGTGCGTGCTGGCGGTTTTTGTGAACAAAAATTAAAATGGTCACCGACGCTCGTCTTACATTGCATGTGTCAAACTCAACTACCACACGGGTATTATGATAAATTTCTATAAAATTTATTGATTAACTGTGAGCAAAGCTCTTAAATATAGGAAGTTAAGCTGTACTGGGATATAAAATAAAATAGTTGGAACGGGCACAAACACTCTTTTAAGTTTACATTATTGCAAACTATTATTATTTTATTAATGTGCAAAACAACAGAATACAAATTATTTGTATTTTAACCTCCTTTTAATATTGTTATTCCTGGAGAGCCCAATAACTTTTTGTAAAGTAATTCAAAACACATAAGTAACTTTATATGCTTAGATCCGTTTTAAGCGGATGCCTTTCTTTATTTTTAATTGGTTCTTAACATGCTGAATTACATTCAATCCTTCATCCAATTTCACTAATTTTGAAATGTGAACAAATTAATTATAAAACAACCTGTTCAAAGCCAAAAACAATGTGGTGAAGGCTTAAACCACAAGTCGAGGTATTCATCGACCAAAGCCATATCCAACAGATAATTGACCATTAGGTGTTCTTATTCCAAATCCGGATCCTGGGACATTAGCATTTATACCCACGCCAGCACCCCCTCCAAATGCATTGGAAATGCTTCGTATTAGCTGATCGATAGAACCAAAAGCGCTATCAGTCACCAAAGACAGAAGAAGAACTAAAATCTGCAAGATAATCGTATAGATTGAGGCTTAAAGATATATATGATAAATTAAACTTACAAAAATTCGAGTCATTCTGCAAGGTGTAGTCGAGTGTCTTCTTTGATGATAGTTTTACAAATAATAGCACACATAATACGAATTGCGTTTATATAGCAAAAACTATAAACGTTGTAAATTGTATGCAAATGTACATCGTCCGTAAAAATGAAAAAGGTTTTACATTTTAAGGAGGGACACACAAGGTTAATTAAAAAAATGAATTGCTTAATATATTCATTCGCTTATACATATATTCCTTTCGTTGTGAGTTGTGAACTTGTATGGAACATAAGTTTTTAGCTTTTAAAGTTTTTGTCGCTGGGTAACAGTGTTACCTAGAAGAAAATGTACAGTAATGAAAATGTATACTACTGTGTGCAACAAGGCCGGTGAATTTGTTTGTATAAAGAAAAATTTGTATTTATTCTTCTAAGTCAAAACCCTCCCGTTTTTTCTAATCCTTAAAACATGCCAAATATTACCTTCCTGGTACAGCTATCAATATTCCTCGATTCACCTTTTATCTTTTATTAACCTCCCCGGAGTGGTATCTTAAGTTTTGGGAACAGCTAGAAGTCACACAGAGACTAATCAGACGAATACGAACAGACGGAAATGGCTAGATCGACTCTCCAAGTGATGCTGATCACGAATATATATACTTTATAGGGTCGGAGATGTCTTCCTCACTGCGTTGCAAACTTCTGACTGAAATTATAATACCCTCTGCAAGGGTATAAAAAGTAAAACCAAAAAAAATTAAAAATAAAAACAAAGAAATGTATAAAAGCAAATAAAAAAATCAAAAAGGCAAAAAAAATTAAAAAAGAAACAATGTACTTTGACAACTTCACCACGATGCCACTAAGGAGGTGGCCGACAAGATATGATGTTAAGACTTAGATTTGTAGGAGCGTATTCAAAAAACATCAACAGAAACAAGAAACAAGAAACAAGAAAACACAAACAACGCACATTATGAAAAGCGTTGGTCCATATCGAAAATCCACGCTGAAAATTTTGCTTGCCATTCGGTTGTATCAGCGTTACGCATCTTAGTGTATTATAGAGTCTTTGGCTTAACCCATTTTTTTATAATTCAAAACATTGAGTTTCCGTCAGTTACTCAGTGTACTTGTGATTAAGTATCGTTGATATAGAAAATAATAAGGAAATGTATTTGCGTTTAATTAATATATTTAAATTTTCATAAAAGTATGTTTTTTATAAGAAACAACCAGACCGCAGCGCAAAACAGTAGTATTCAAAAGAATCCAGGACGATAGCCATATCCAAAAGAAAGCTCCCCATTAGGTGAGACAACAGTGAACCTCCTGTTAACGGAAACGGGTATATTCGCTCTGGCACCTCCCCCGAGTCCACCAGTAATAGCTCGCATCAGCTGATCGATAGCACCATAAGCACTACCAGTCATTAAAGCCAAAGTTATCATAAGAACCTTAAAAACAATAAAGATAATGGTACGCAATTCAATTAAAACGAGTATACTTACCATAAGACGGAGCATTGTAGGGATTATAAAATGCCTCACCTAAAGTAGTTATACCAAATGATAGCAAACACAACCTGGCTCGGGTTTATATAGCAAGCTTTCAAACATTTAAATGCAGATTGAAAATATGTTAATACAAATCGTAAAGTTGGAAAAAAAAGGCTCATTACAGACACTAACACATGCTAATCATTTGAGTAGTTCCCTCCGGCTTGCTTATCTAAAATACCTACAAAATTTAATCAATTAATTAAACGCTGTAGTCGAATTCCTCAAGGTACCACAGATAACAAATTTAAAAATAAATATTCATCCAGAAAACAACTGGTCAAAGAGCGAGTAGCATTCCCACCTGCCTCTAACAGCCGCCCTATGTAATGCAGAGCAGCGGCTTAGCGCCGGCAGAGCACGACAAGACCGGCATAAAACAGCTATCGGCATACACACAATTTAAAATCTTCGTTGTGCAAATTCCTTGCACAAATGAAGTAATGCATGTCATAGTATTTGTGCTCTTTGCTGCTTTTCATGCACGAACTCCGTTTCACAAATATGCGTTAACGTTGCCAACAACTTCTAAAATATTGGTCCGATTTAGAATATTAATGATTATTAATTGATTTAACAAATATATAGTGCTTTACAGACTTCTATCATGTACCAGAGGGACATGACAGACTGCGTGGAATAACTAGAATCTGCGTTAAAGATCGTAAATCCCTGATTTTATACATATGTATGTAGTTTCTGAGAGCTCGACATAGACTTACATGGCTAAATTGACTCATCTATTGATCGTCTATTCATGATCAAATATACATATATACTTTATAGGGTACAAAATGCCTTCCTTCTACTTGTCACATGCATACTACGAGTAACGGGTAGATATGTAGATATGACACACACACAGCCCAACTAGGGTCTAACATGTCTCAGAGTGACATGACAGACTCTCGCAAATTGTTGGCGTTGGAGTAGGCGTGTCCACATTTGAAATTACTAGAGTCTGCCTGTCAAATCCCAATAGTTTTCGAGACTCATTCGTACGGGCGGGCAAGCAGACGGACATGGCAATATCAACTCGGCTATTGATCCTGATACTTATCAACGAATGCAATACGTACTCTACGAGTTTTAAAACAGTTGAAGCAAACATTTTATTACCTGTCAGTGCTCACAATATTCTAGAGGTGTAAAGCACAAACTACTAAATAGAAAACAAAAATGTGACATTCCACTCTAAGAAAATGAACAAACAAATTAATTTTGTGAATAAAGTGGTACCTAAAAAGTTTGACCAATCCCTAACCCCAATCAAGGTTTATATTATTGGAATGCTGCTTAGTTTTATTAAAGGGTACTGCATTTACAAAGCTTGGCCAAGACAAATGTTAATTCTACCCCGACACTTGTCGTTTCTTAATGCTAAAAGTTAAGCCTAAGCGTTTTACCGTCAGGTCCGTTTTTCCGTTGCATAAGTCGGTTCCTCGGTACTATCCCAATACCCCCAGAAGAGGGGATAACAACCCTCCTAAAATGCCTTTTGGCGAAGGCAATGTGCCGTCGAGATCCACGCTGATGGAACCTTGCAAGCCGCGACCGAGAAGACCAAACTTGTTAAAAAGGTTCGGGTGTCCCTGAGCAGACGCCCCCGCTGCTGCGCTTGCGCTGCTTGAGGATGAGAATCCGAATAAGTTTCCTAGTCCTCCGAAGAAGTTACCAAATGGCGTGAAAATTCCAAAGGGGTCGAGCGAAGGTCCGCTAAGGAGTCCTGTTCCAAACAGTCCATTTTGGCCAAATATTCCAGTACCGAATAGTCCACCGTTTCCGAAGATTCCGCCGCCTCCACCTACCGATGCGCCTACACCGCCCTTGATTCCAACTGATTGGCTGGGAAATGGTCTGGGGAATGATCCACCAGGGAGTGATCCACCAGGGAATGATCCACCAGGGAATGATCCACCAGGGAATGATACACCAAAGATTGGCCTTCCAGGGAATCGTTCAAATGATCCAACAGAGATTGGTCTACCAGGTATGTTTGGGAAACCTCCCGGGGATGGTCTACCCGGTTGATTCGGAACTGTTCCACCCGGACGGTTTGGACCGGGACCACCAGGTAGCCAACCCATCGGATTAAAATGCCCTGGAATACCTGTTGGAGTCAGGTATGGATCGTAAGGGCGTGTGTTCTTAATTATTGTGATTAAATCGCTCCCCTGGCCGACTCCAGCTGATATTTTACTGTATCCAGGCCTCAATGTATCAATTCCAGCCAAAATATTAGCAGCTTTTAATGCTTGTAAAACTGCGGCAGTTTGTGGCAAAGTATTTCCAGGGTCATAAATACCACCGTGTAGTCCTCGAAGTCCACCCGGATTAGCTCCAAAAAGAACATCTAAATATCGAAGGGGCGCCATCTTGATGTCGGCCAAACCCTGGATGGCAGATTCCCCTTGTCGGGCCAACTCACTGAGAACAGCATGTGAGCTGCCCCAGAACAGGATCAGCGAAAGGACAAGAATCTGCAAACAAGACTGTAAGACTCAGACGTTTGCGAGCACAAATATTATTAGGCTATTTACCAATTGTCGCACCATAGCGAAAACTCTTTGAAACTGATGTATTTGCCTTTGGAAAGTCTTGTTTTTATAGTGCTTGTAAATGGTAATTACAATATAGATGAGAAATATATGCAAAAGTAGACTTCTAAGTTCAGACAACAGACCAACCGTAAGTTTATACTACCGTAGGGAATTGTCAAAGGTCGAAACATGTGTACTGTTCGGACAACAGATTTATTTGCTATTAAATGCTTTGAATTTACAGAAAAGTAAAGTAAGTGAGTAAAGTAATGCGAGCTTTCATTTGTGTTAGGAATCTCAAGGCCTAACTAGATAAGATATACCGTTAGTGCCCTTATCACTCGATTACTTAACCCGATCAAAGTAATTTTATACCCTTGCAGAGGGTATTATAATTTCAGTCAGAAACTTGATACGCTGTGACCCTATAAAGCATATATATTCTTGATCAGCATCACTAGGAGAGTCGATCTAGCCATGTCCGTCTGTCCGTCCGTTTCTACGCAAACTAGTCTCTCAGTTTTGAAGCTATCTGCATGAAACTTTCCAAAAAGTTGTCTTTCTATTGCAGGTAGTATATGAATCGGAACGAGCCGGATCGGACGAATATAGCATATACCTCCAGTTATATGTATATTAAGATACATATTTAAAATTCCTACGTAAATAGCCGTATTGGATCGTATTGGATCGGACGAATATAGCATATAGCTCCAGTTATATGTATATTAAGATACATATTTAAAATTCCTACGTCAATAGCCGTATTGATGCTTCAGGCTCTTTAAAAGTGTCAAGTTTGTTCAAAGAAAATATTTACAAGCACCTTGACACCTTAAAGGATGCTTCGCAGCATACAACAACCAAACGAAAAGAAAAACTGAAAATCAGATTGAAGTGAACGAAGGTAAATAGACGGTTTGGTAACTGCCTGGGTGGTGAGTTCTTGGTTTTCTTTTATGGGATTTCCATTTTCAATACGATTGGGAGGGTGGATGGACCTTCAAGATGCGAAATACGAATTCAAACAAGTGACACACAAAGTTTAGAGTTGAAGAACTTAAAATCTTTTACCACCCCTCTTTCACAAGCTCGAACACCTTTCAATAAAATCCCTTCAGCTTAATATTGAAAACTGCATCATTTGAATGTGTATTTATTGACGTGCCCTCGAGGGTGCCCGGATGTGTTGTCCTTTGGGTTTTTCATTCTAATTTCCGCCGGTGATAAGTTGAATTATTGACAAGAGTCTGCGGCAGTGCCAAGATGAGCCCTGGTCGATGTCCAGCTTTCTGTGTTTTCAATGTCCTGCTCTGTGTCTTTCCCCATTGGATTTGATTTCTGATCTTTGGGTTGCCATGCCACCCGCATCAAAGGATGTCGTGGTATCTTTTATTTGATAATATTTTTTTACTCGATGTTGATTTTTATTGGCTTTAATTTATGCTGATTGACACAGTTATGTATTTTTTGGTAAGATATTGACGCTCCCTTGTCAACCAAGTCATTTTCTACCTAAAAACTGCGTCACATATGTATGTACACTCACTCCATCCGAAAAAATGTTTGTTAAAATATTTCTATTTTATGCGTACAATACAAAAATAGCACCGCACCACTACGAAAGTTTATTTTTTTATTTGTTTTTATTTTATTTATTTTATCAAATAATATATGGTAAGAGTTCTAATATTTAAAATGTCTCTCTTTATATTGGTTAGTGTTCCACCTATATTAATAATAGCTGAACCGTTATTAAAATGACAATTTTCGTTTTCCCATACCAGCTAAATGGCAGGCTAGATCAGCTCGCATGGTGAATATATATATACTTTATATCTTTATTGACAAAAATTATAATATTCTCTGCAAAGGTATACAAACAGTATCCCGTTTTAAGGTGTTTATACTTTCATTTTAGTCAAGTAATTGAAAACTACTCATCATTTAGCCACACGCGTATATCTCATAAAAATCAACCCATTAGACCTTCTTCTGCCAGGATTATGGCCAAAATGCGAGAATGCGTGTCGTATGTAAATTAATACAAATGGAGAAATGGGAAAATTTTGGCAAGAGAACCAAACATGCAAAGGACATAAAAAGGGCACACGCAATAGTCTGAACTAGAGTCTTCAAGTGCTAATAAACTACATGCACATTCCGAATGCGCGTTAATAATTTATGTGGGCTAATAGACGACCAGATAACCATCATATGCAGGGAATCCATATCCTGCCGGCTTACCTATCTATGTATTTATCTATCGTAGCTTCTGTTTAGAAGGCTACAAGGGTGTCGCTACCCGCTGGGGCTGGGTCTCCGTCAACCCTTTTTCCTCGTTTTAGGCGAAAATTTATGAGACCTAAGAGCATCAGCTTGAATATGGATATGTGAATAATATTTTTGTAAATTTATATCGACGACCTTGATTATGAGTATATATAATCAAGATATACAGTCCACTCCTCTCTCTACCAAACAAATTTGTTCCTTTGTTTGCATATCAACATGACACACTCACCAAACGTCCGTCCACTGTTTCTGAAATTTAATTAACAAAAGGGTCAATTGTCGCGTGTGGGCGGAATACCTTTCCCCGACTTTGTCTTACCTATATTTGTTAGCAAACAATATTTTTGATTAATTTATGAATTTTCGTGTGAAGTGTTTTGTTTTCTTTATTTATGCCCTTATGAATCAACATTGCGTGTCGCTCAAAAAAGTTCATGTTTAATAAGAGCCCATTTTGGTAATTACACTCATTGTGGTTAATCGTTTGTAATTACACCAAAAAGATATAAAGGTGACTTGTGAAATAAGTGTAGTGTCGCTCATCAAGTAATTCAATCGAATATGTTAGATAAATTAAACTTTAATATATGGTTATATAATATCGTAGCCTTTTTCAACTCTATTGGTATCGAATTTCATAGTGGGGACCTACTGTCACCATACAACTTTCACAAACTATTTTCAAAATCAAATTAAAGCAAAGGACAAAGGCCTAAATACTCACACTTTACTTTTCATCCTCCTATGCAAACATCTTGCATGTCGAATTGCCACTTCCAGATGGGAGTTGGAAAAGTTTCATTGAAGCAAAATCAACAAATGACCTCTGAACTTTTCCAGCCCTTTATTTTGTATTAGTTTAAAAATTGCAGTTACAGATTCGATTGATTTTTTGACTGCATTCACATTACAAAGCTATACAATTTCAACAATTCTCTATGCCATAAAATGCACTGAACTTGTTTACCACCTAAGCGTTACACAGCGGTGTCCAGCCATGAATTTTTTATCTACATTTGAAAAAAAAACTGCTTTGGGCACATAGATAAATAGAAACTGTTATTGCTCAAAAAACCCCGTCAGCAAACACTGCTGTTGAATCAACTCTAGATGGACGCGGGACTCCATGCACACTTAACGACGCTGTCCATGGCAAATGTTTACGGAGCCGCAAGAGTAGGAGTCAATGCGGAGATGGCATGAAGCAGGGCATGAATAATAAATGCTCCAGCACCGTCCAGTTAGAATATGTGCTAAACTGTCGGAATTTGGAGACATGTCGAGCACTTAGATGTACACGGCAATCTCACACCCATCCACTTACAATTTGTACACACAGCCGAAAGAAACCCTTTTCCTCTTATATGAGCTTTCGCCACGGTAATTAACTTTACAAATCGCATGCGAGAGTGTGATTAATTATTCCAAAACCGGACACTCAAACTCGCAAGCCGGACAGTTAACCCATTTCGGCATCGATAAGGGTTGAACTCACAGCTGTGGAAGAGGCGTTGCGGGGAGTGTGTCTGGGCTTTTGACACTTAAAATTTCTAAAAACACATTTGATGAATGTTCGCTCATAAGGCGTAAATTGAAACTATTCTTGACCATGGACCCAAAACTTGAGGCCGTTTGACCACATGCCACTTAGCACATGGTTTGGCATGCGGACCTCAATCACCTAACCCAAACCACTCACATCCCAGTATTCTTTGGACGGTCGCACATATGTTTCCCAGAAAAAGGATTTTCTTTCGGTCAGCCTCCTTCTCAGAGTCTAAATTTTGCATTAATTTTGACTTGGTCAACAACACTTCATTAATTACACCCCGCAAAGCACAAGTATTCAAATTTCTTGTGGTCAAGGACGTGTGCGACTGTGCAAAAGTTTTATTAGATGCTTATCGCCAAATTGAAAACTGGGTGCATGATTTATGCCTCGTGCCGGCTCAAGGCACTCACACAACATCCTGTTCGAGATTTTTAACCCTCATATTCAAGCAATCCCTTAGTATTCTGGTATTCCTAATTTCATATTAAAATGTACATCTCCAGCTTATATTTACAACAGCTGTTTATTTCAGCTTAAACAGGAAAGGAAGCAAACTTCGACAAGCCGAAGTTTATATACCCTTCCAGCAATTGTGCAATAGCACAAACGAAATATTCTTCTAAATTTCGATTTATATGCGTATATGTTTAATAACATTGAAGCTATGATGATTTTCAGCTAAGTTATTTGATCTTTCCTATGGCAGCTATATGATGTAGTTTACTATATCCAAAAGAAATTTAAAAAAAAGCTAAAAACAGAAAAGTAAACCTTTTTTTTCAATTTATTTTTTGTAATATTCCGATTGTTTCCATGGGAGCTATATGATATATTCGTACGATTCTGATATTTCGAAGAACTTACAAAAAATTTAAAAAAAATCAAAGTTATATTTTTTCCGATTGTTCCTATATGCCATAGTCGTCTGATCCGGCTTGTTCCGACTTATGTACTACCTTTACCTCGAAGACAACTTTTCGGAAAGTTTCATGCAAATAGCTTTAAAACTTGAGACTAGTTTGCGTAGAAACGGACGGACGAACGAACGGACAGACGTACGGACAGACGTAAGGATAGACGTACGGACAAACGTACAGACAGACGTACGGACAGACAGATCGACTATCCTAGTGATGCTGATCAAGAATATATATACTTTATAGGGTCGGACATGGTGCCTTCACTTCTGACTGAAATTATAATACCCTCTGCAAGGGTATAAAAATTTAAACGTGGGTGAAAAAAAGAGAAAGGGTTTACTTGG